TTACCAAAGCTATTGAGTCGAAATAAAACAATCCTGTTGAAGTCATTCTTCTCAAAGATATATTTGTTATGTGAATCTTTATAAAAACATCTGTAGAGAACCTATAGAAAAAGTTGGTTCTTCTGAATTAGTTTCTAATTCTCATTTGTATATTCAATGTCATTCAGCATATTTACAATCAAAATTTTTGAAATAAAAGGAATTATGCAGTTTTAAGCAAAGCCTCATTTCCGCGCTTAATAATCCAATTCAATTCAATGTTTCCAAACCGAAGATGTGAGAATTTGTATTTGGATATTCTTATAAGAATATCAAATAATAATTTCATAAAAGACACCATCTCAAAGTTTTTTCAAAAAATGAATTCGATTCGATCTACCACTTACCACATTTTTATTATGATGAAATTGTTGTAATTTATTTGACTCAAAGTAGTTTGCTGAGCCACTGTTATACATGTATATCAATCCACTTGTATTATCATTAAATGTTAAAGAAAAATGGTTCATGTTTGGATTTTTTTCTTCCTCATTTTTCACTTATTTTGACATTCATGCAGGATGCTGAAACGCATTTCACATTTGCATGAGTATAGGAGATCGTTGCAGTCGTTGCTGTGCAGTCATTATATTTTTAACATCTTTGTTTGCATTCGAAATTTTCCAATTACGGTAACACAGCCAGCCATATTCCATGATTTTTGCGATTGTTCTGAAATGCATCGGCACTCGTACATGAATACTCCATGTGTAAAATTCGTGTAACTAAAAATGTTTGTTCTAGTTGTAATGCCAGTTAATCGCTTATTCCAAGAATATTCTACTTGCACATTCATCAAATGGTATTCACTTTCGCTTCATTTAATATATTTTCGATATTTTGTTCTATGTTTATCAAATTCTATAGCATAAAACTGAAAATAATTCGGTGGTAATTCATTGTCAATTTTTTATGTTTGAAATCATTCTATTTATTAGTATTCAAGAGTTGTTGCTAATATTAATTTATGAAGCTCTTCCATGAAAATCCATCGAACAAAAACAACACGGAAGGATGCATTTGAACAATATGGTCAAAAAATATTCCATATTAAATTTGCAATCATTTTCGCGCGGATATGGGAAAAAAGGGGAATCTTATCAAGTGTATGAATTTACCAATTAATGCTTCGAAAACTAACGAAAACTGTCCAAGAATGTGCTTCATAACTGTTGAATTAAGAATAAAATTACTTTCATTTCATTTATGTGCGGTCACAGAATGGTATTCACAGTTTGTCTCACTCTCTCTCTCTCTCTCTCTCTCTCTATTCAAAACAAAATTAGACACTAATGTAGTTCAAATCAATGGATGATTCGGCAAAAAAAACGATTTTTTACTCATTTCATTCATCTGATCCCTTACATGTGTAAATTTCTCCAAAATCAAGAGAAAGTAATTCAAAATAATAATCTCTTTTCACTAGAATTATTGAACGAAATGAAGACTTTAATTATGATGATGACAAATAGGCATCCAATATACATGCCTTTGAGTTTTTTGTGAATTTATTTCTTTTGTATGTGCATTTTTTGTGAAAACTTGTTGTTACAAAAACGTCTTCTTGGCAACTTCAAAGCGCAATCATTCAATTAGTTTTGTGTAAAAAAAACATAAGACTATTGGGAATATACAATGATCAGATGAAGGGAAATTGAGGAAAGGAAAGAGGTCACTTGTATAATTGTAACAAGTAATTGGCAATGAATTACGCGGTTTGGACTTTAATCATAATGAATTTTGCACGATCTTCGTATTCAATTAATGTGCACATGTTATGGCTGTGGATTTACAGTCTTATTGACACACCCTTTTAGAAAACATTCACACAATGACCGACGACAAAGGCGGAAAAATAAATTATATGTTGACTTGCATTATTGTTGATGGTTGCTAGAACTAGCTTCGTCAGTAATTATATATTTTTCCGCTTTTCTTCTCTTCGCTTTCTGTCAATTCGAAACATCTTTCATCTATTACTGAACACCATTCCTGGTAATAAAAATAAGATATCATCCGCGCTAAATTAAATTGGATATAACTTTTACATTCTTCTGTTGGCAGTTGAAGTAGATCAAATTGGTTCTCATATTGAATTTCCTTTGCTTTGATTGATTTGATTTGTTTTTATTGTAATATACACTTTCAAGCTAAGAGAATTTATATTGCACTTCTTAAAATTATTGTCGTAATTAACTACATTTCTACATTTAAATGTTTTGTTTTTTCGCACTATTAGTCTATTCAATTCCCTTCCTAAGGTAATCAATGTCTGAATTCTAGTGAAAAAAATGAATCTTTCGGCAAAAATTTGTCGTTTTTCAGACGAAATTCTTCTGAAAATAAATTATTAACATTTCTGCTCTATGAATGAATCTGAATTTGGAAAAAAAGAATACACAACACAGAAAATATATTTGAAATGAAGTCTCTGGATAAATGTTTATTTCAAACATTTCCACAGTTTTTACTACATAAATGTAAGAAAAACGTTCATTTCCTGCATCAAAGATACTTTGAGAGTAGCGACACACTAAAGCGGTTTTGTCATAGCAGGCAATTGAGTGTCAATATTCTGCATTGTCCCAACTTCAAAATGTGAACCGCTGTATGAGGGCGATACGGATTTGAATTGTTGTTGTTTTAATTAGAAAAATACTGACAGTCAATGTACACGTCCAGAGCCGTAGCAACACTGTTTTGCGTGGGGGGCAATTTTTTTTTCCAAATATAATTTAATTTTTTACACTAATCCAATAATTATAATTGTTTCATATGAGGGGTTTAGAACGAAAATGTAATACAGAAAAGTTGAGCGGAAAAAATGTCGATGATGAATGAGCGGAAAAGAGATAGCTATATAGTAAACTGTATAGTAAACTATAGTGAACTATATAGCTATCTCTTTTCATTTGACATTTTTCCTCTCAAATTTTCTGTATTACATTTTCGCTCTAAACCCCTCATATCGATCATTCCATACGGAATCAATCAAAATTCACTATTGCGAGTTGAAAACATCATCCGGAGCAAGACCATTTTTCGACATTTCAAACCATACGTCTGATATTACTACAGACGTACTGCCTGATTATTTGGACGAGGACACAATTCTTTTAAGATTCAATGCTTTGGAAAATCGTAAAGTACAATTATTTTTTTTTTAAATGATTAAATGTTATTCGAAGTTTTTTGTCAAATCGCGAGCAGTTTTGAGTGATTGAAAAACAAAATAGATAAACTTTGAATGCAGTCAAAACTATATACTTTTGTTTTCCATTGTCTTTAATTTTTTTTTTCCTCTTTTTCTTTAATTTTTCCTTATGGTATTGCTTTCATATATAAGAAAAACGAGTGGGGCAGTGAAAACACGTGGGGGAGCAAAGCCCCCCTTGCCCTTAGTTGCTACGGGCCTGTACTCGTCTAGACTAATTCTGATAAAAAAAATTATGATCGACACTTATAAATATATTATATTTGTCTTCTATGCTTAATGTACGGAAATTGAAAAACCATCACAAACAATGGGAGATGTCTATTAATAAAATTGAAAGCAGTTAATACTTTTATTTCGATGGACATAAAAAAACAGGCATGTTTTCCCTACAATATACGGGTTTTTTCAATCTTGAGTATTGAAAAAAGAAAAAAATTTATGTGGTCATAATGCTTGTCCGTGAGTAATAGGGATTTTGGACTAAAAAATGCAAGCGATATGAAATCTTCTACGCCAAGAAAAGAACATCATCTTTGTTATAACAAATACTCAATTAATTTATAATTTAAATTCTTTGTACACTTTCCTTCTTTGATACAAAAAATGCAAAACAAATAAGACTCATAGCCTGTTGATATATTAATTATGGGTTTCGTGTAACAGTACGCCTACTTTATTGGCATAGTATCATTTAAGTACATTTTTCTGTTTTGGTAGATTGTGTCATGTCATGTATGCATAGTGACGTTTGCGTCTGTTATGTGGTTTTCGTTTGTTTCATCAATGAAATACATAACTCATTAATAAACGATGTTGTTTAAGTGCTAGAGCTACTGCTGCAAGTAATAAAACTTGCACCTTCCTCGTATGTTATGTATTTATCGCTAGAATTAGCTACGAAATATGCTGAATATATTTTCAATGTGCTCTGTTTTCAAATTTTTTCTTGATTTTTTTGTTTGCACAAACGATTTTCTCGTTTTTCAATTTGGATGACATATTTTTAGCTGAATCGGAACAAATTGTTATATTTTATGTATATATGCGTAACATTTGTCGATGGAAGGTTGACTTTAATGGAAATTGTTGTTTATTCCGATCAATGTATGACTTATTTTTTTGGAGTACTTAATACAATGAAATGTTATAGAAAAAAAAACAATAATTTGGAAAAAAAATTGGACCGATAGTTTTGCTTTATAAGTTTTTTTATTTATTTTGACAAACTGGTTTTTATGTTTTTAAGACAGAAGTGTTTGTATTTTGCAATTGAAAATTTTGTGAACCAAATTCATGGACTACGAACAAATTATTCATTGTTAAACCTAAATCATCATTGTGCCCGATATCGACGAACACAATGGTCAGTGGCAGCAACAGTTCAGAACAAACTACAACAACCAGTGATTCAAATAATAATGTAAGGGATGGTGACGATGGAATCGAATACCTGAACAAGATCAGGGTTTGTAATAATGGTGATGAAGAAAATGACGGAAGCTTTTCGGAATATTCTTATAACGAATGTGATATCACACTGATCGATGATGATGATATTTTCTGCGATGCCAGAACTGATGGCGAAATGCTATACTGTCAAGTGGTGGAAATGTTGAGATTTGAAGTTGAGGTTTGTGTTTGAATACAAATTATAATTACAATATAGGAAATTTTCATTATAGCTTTGATCAAGCTCTACTTAGTAATATTCTGATTTTAAAACAAATTTGCTACACAAAACCCTATTATTGTGTAGAAAATAGTTTACTACACAGGTACGGGAGAAAAGCACAACAGTTGGTCTGTGTGTGTGTGTGTCCTGGGAGACCCGAACAACGCAGTAAATAAAAATTGGGTTCCTTTTACATAGCGACTGATTAACCTAGCGACCTGAGCTTCGAGTTACCTTCCTAAAATTTCATTGGCTATCGATCTAGCAAAAAAAAAAACATTACAAAAACGTCCTCAAAAAGTATGATATCCTTTAGACTGCTCCAAAAAAAATCGTTCCTCATCCGGAAAGTCCGGCCAGTTTCGAAAAATATACCTCAAAAAAAGGTTTGGCTCAAAAAAAACATATGGGTATCATATAAAATCCCATATCAAAATTTTCATGACAGTTTTCGGAAGCCATTTTTGATCGCAACATTTCGACTGATTCCACTATTCCAACCAAATTTCGGCAAAAACTGATGATGGGAATCTCATCATGAGATTCTGTTTGGCTCGTCAATATCTACAATTATTTTTATCAAGACCTCAGCCATTGAAAAGGCATTCTGGGCCAGTTACAGTGTAAAATGACTGAAAAAATGGCAATTTTTTGGCATTTTTTACATTTTTCGCTACACGTGTCACCCAGGCGGTGGATTTGGATGGAATTTGGCGTTAATTGATTCACACATAAAAAAACAATTTTTTTGAGTAATGAACAATAAAATATTTATTTTTCTATCACTTCAGCTTTAATTCAGTTTTTTGTGAAAAATTCGATTTGAGACCAAAATATAATGAAATTGGTATATTGTTGTTCGTAAGCCATACACCGATGCAAATTGCACAGTGGCTAGGAGGAGCTCCAAAAAATAGGAGCCTCTCATAAGAACACAGGAAAGGCATATTTTGGGTAGAAAATACGATTTTCTGTATGACATATTGCGAGTTGAAAACATCTACTGAAATAGTGGCATTTTTCGACCTTTAACACTAATTAGACAGGGTCGATCGAACTCTAAATCGATTACTCGCCAAAAATTATTTGGCGTTAAAATCATATCAGCCCATCATACGTGAGTTTTCTATGCCATTTTGTATGTAGATTGCGGCCATTCGCTTGGTTTTTGAAGAAATGTCGATTTTAGACAAAATTTATATGAAAATGAGTATTTTGTTGTTCAAGGACTCCAATTATTTTTGAAAAATAATAGCAGTTTGGCTGGACCAAATTCTTGAAAAGTGATTATTTTGAGTACTTCCCATACAATAGTACCACATTTGACAAAAATCAATTTTGATGAGTTTGTGCTCGAGCCCAGTTCGAGTACAAACTCTAAGACTTTGCACACGGTCAGCACAAACTTTAAATCATATGGCAATGACCCCAGAACATCAACATTCGGCCTCTAAGATGGAGCCGCCATACAAAATTTCAAAATTTGACAAAAATCGAACTTTGCCGAGTTTATGTTCGCCACCAGTTGTAGCACAAATTCTGGGATTTTGCATAGCGTCAGCACAAACTCTAAATTTGATGAATCTGGTGTCGGTTCTTCATTTTTCCAACATGGGGGGCCAGTCACATTTACCTACTTCATTTTACAAGAGAATTGCGTTTCATTATTCCGCTTGCCCATTGATATCTCTTATCAGTCTCGTGAAAAATGAGATGGCATGCAGTGCCTCAGCGAGACCAAATTGCGCCCCGATGCAAACGAAAATTTTGCGCCTTTTCCGAAATTGTTTAATATAAATTAAATAATGAAAATTCGAGCAATAATTTTTACTTCTACAATAATAAGAAATATCTTTATTGTTTTTTTTTAAGTTTAGTTTATAATACGTTTTGGTTAATTCTTTGGATCTTTGAAAAATACTTGTATACTACTGTGTAAAGATGTTCATGTTGATTCAACATTGTTGAAGTGTGTGAAAAGAGATATAGCTATTTGAATACACCTTTTCTTGCTTTAGCAGACGCAAATTCATGGATAACTTCATCATAATTTTTGTCACTTGCAATATCATTTTCGATGGAAATTATGGTTAATCCACTTAATCGTTCCTGGCCCATCACTATCAATGGAAAGTAATCAAAACGAACATTATTTTACCTTCGAAGTGAGCTTCGTCGTGGTTTTCCATGAGAATATCGTCATGGATTTGATCGTGAATAGATGCACTAGGAACACTGGCAGAAGTAGTTGGTGCACTTGCACCTAAATATAATCGGAAAATTCCAGTTTAAAACCACATCAAATCGTAGCCTTATCGAATTTCAAAAAAATTCACCTGTGAATTTCCGTATGTCTGATGTAGCTTTTTTGTTTTCGGCCTCTTTTTGCTCCCTGATTTTCTTATTTTCATGACCAGATTTTTTTTTCTTGTTCTTAAAAAACAATTCAATATAAGATTACAAAACATTTATTACAAGTAATTTTTAAAGTTACCATATCGCTCACTGATAAAAACAATCACTTTTCGGTTTTGATTCTGATCAAAATAATTTCTATGATCGATCTGTTTCGGTTAATGAACAAGTGAATACTGTGCTCTCCTTATTCTGATTCCATGACAAACAGCGAAGTGTACACGGTCGAATTGTTTATTCTGATTAACTGATTAATTGACAAATCAGCAATTCTCGCGAAACTGTAACGTCTATACACAAATCAATAGGCTATGCGCGTTTCGCTCTCTTCTGTTTACATGGCGTTCAAGTGTAAGAGTCAGACTTTCTTATAAACGCTATGATTCATTTATTTAACTCATTGCAAGTTGATTACTCGACTCTTTTATGAAAGTATTACGATGCAAAATCAAATTCGACAAATTCGTTTGTGAGCAAAGATAAATGAACTTAAAAAAAACATAGAATTGCAAAGAACATTCATTTTTTGAATAAACAGTTTTGATTTTCATTTTCGAAGAAAAATGATAGGGGAAAGTGGGGAATTGCTTACCACGATCTTTGTGGCCAAGTAAACATTCTCAAAATCAAATGTTTTTCAAAATTTCAACATGCAAAGTTGTAGTACGCCTTTAAAGCTTTCATTTGATACTAACTGTTTGTTCAAATTCAATCCTGTGAAAAAAAATATACCCCTCCAAGTGATATTTCTCAGTGTCTCTGGTGCTACGCATCACAAAATCAAAAGAATCCAAGTGTAATCTGATCAAATGTTTCAATATTAATGCGAAGTGACTGTGCCGTGTGTCAATCTCAGTGTGAGTTGAACACGTTTAACTCTTCCAGTGCGGAAGATTTCTTCTTTTCCATCAATCTCAGTGCGAGTTGATGACAATTTTATTCTGATTTTCCAGTACGGGAGATTTCTTTCTATTTCTTTCTTCTCCATCAATCTCAGTGCAAGTTGATGACATTTCTTCCAACTTTCCAGTGCGGACAAGTTTTTTTTCTTGACTCAGTGCGAGCCAATAATTAGTGTTTTGTTATTCTAGTGCAGAATAAAACGCGTGTAGCTTCAGTACGAGGCGAATAACCCGTTACATTTTTTTTGTGAGTAAAAATCGAGTGTGTCATCGATTCAAAGGATTTGTTGATATCATAGTGTTTATTGAAAGTCAAATTTGTGGTGTGCAGTTTCCAAACGAATACAGCGTGGTTACGCTTTGGCTGCACACGGATCAGGTTTCAACATAAACACAATAAATTTCATTATTTATCGTTTTCCAAACAAATTCGTCGTGTTATCGACAGTAAACAAATCGAGACCGGACTCGAAAAAAGAAAGAACGTATTGTGACAAATTTTCGAGTTAGTGAACAAATCGAAGGGCATTTCAGCATCCATAGTGCGCATTATTCCATTTGTTGAGCTTATCTCAGAGAAACCGTTCGATCACTTTTCAAACAAAACTCGAACGACAGCAACCGAATAAAAGAAAGCGATTTTTAACATTTCTGTCGCTGCACCGGACTCGTTCAATGTTCTCTCCACCAAAGGCTCAGTAATAAGTACCGAAATTTTTCGGCCGATAAATCTGAAGTTTCTATTCGGAGGTTTTGAAGTGCAGTACATAGTGAAGCGACAGACAGGATATTTTTCTAATTCTTTCTCCTTTCATTCACAAACACCACCATAAAAATGGCTTCAAGTTACATTCCCGAAATGTTCGTCGACTGTTTGTCGGACGAAGCTATAAAATACGAGTTGAACATTCGCCACCTGTTTTTGTCTTCCGACAACAAAGTGAGGCGCAAAAATAAATTGAAGAATGCATTGCAATCGGAAAATCTTATGGATCCTATCCCAAATTACACATCGAATCTCACTTTTGATGTGGATTTTGCGGAAGCCGAAGTGGAATTTGCAATCGTGCAAATCTGACAACTCTGACAAAATTAACGATAGCAACGTTAAACGTGTGGAATCTCTCGTTGTACATTTAACAAATCGTTTGAAACGAATGGTTCCTCCGGAGAATCACAGTAAATTCAAAGCTACATCCGGTAAATTAGAGACAATTTTCGCGGAGATTCTCGAATATTATCGATCGATACCTAATGAAAGGTTTGCCGCATTAAACTCGTCTGTCTCCAACCGAGTAGAAGACGTTCGTGATGAAAACCGAGGTCCTCCAAATTCGAATTCTACAAATCCACAACGAGATGGGAGCAGAGTGCCTCCACACTCCAATCATGTGAATGCCCAACAACAATACTCTTTCCCTTCTTCGAACCAATCGCCTCCAAATATGTTCGAATTGCTCAACAGTCAAGCATTTTTCAACATGTTAGAGCATTCCATAAGTCGGATTTTGGATCAACGTTTCCCTCCGTCCATTTCTACACCATACTATACCCAAGTTCGTCATTCGACTGGCGTTCCAAACGTTCATGCGAACAACCAACAAACGCGCACACGCACCTCTCGACCAAATTATTATTATTATTATTCTGCACCATACAGCGTTTCTTCGCCAGAGGTGGTTTATTTGGTATAAATATTTGGTTATATATTTACAATATTTATAATGAATTCGTATTTTCAGTCTCTCCAAGTTCTATTTCTTTTAAAATAATCAGTTATTCTTTGCTGTGCTAACATTAAAATCAATTAAATAAGTTTTATATGTCTTTGGAATAGTACTAGTATCACAATCATTCGTTTGATTTGGCTCTAT